ATTTATTATTATTCGTTTTTTACTTTATTTTTTTTATAGTTTTTTTTTTTAATCGGTAAATGGATACCGATTCCAAAACGATATATGTTATTTCACGATTCATGAACAACACATGTCAATTCCGAACCGACTTAAATTCCAAAATGACGCGGAACATATCTATTCAAAAATGGGCTGTTTCTATTGACATCACCTTTTGTCGATCAATGCGCATTTAATGTCCCAGTGTCACGAATCCCTCATGATGTACGTACGTATAAATTTTATTTCATATTTTTTATTTTATACTGTATTTGTCATATTCGGTTCCTGTTCATTCCTCTATTTGTAAATATTGTTTATTCCGGGCTTAGTACAGATTTGCGTCTTGTTAGAACCTGTTAGGAAGTTGTTTCAGTGAGGTTTCACATGGATCTGCGATTGTGCCGGGAAACCGTAGCGGATCCTGAGTTAATGGGAGCGAAGTATGTCCAGTTGGAGGCGATTCCTGAGAGGAGGGAACGATTACTGGGTGGACAGGAGTGGAAACTATGTAAAAGTAGCGATGACTGTGTAAAACAGAGTGAATTCGCTCCACTTACCATCATGTATAAGAGATTTCTGATATGAGCCTAATTAACTAAGGAGTAAGCAGCATTGGCTGAAGAGACCTATCACTGAGTAATTAGATTAGAAGTCTCCCCGTATATTGCTATTTATATTAATATTTATACTGTTAATATTGTTATTGATATTATATAAACTTTGTGATTATTGTCTCATAATTGTTATTCCGAACCCATTCTCTGTTATCTGTTAACCGTAGCTGTAGCTGTCAAAGAAAGTTCTTCGATAGAATAGCATCGGTATTTAAACAAGTTCTTAGCTGATAATTCCATAATTCCATTTTGTCCTTTACTTTATTATAACCTCCCGACCACAACTATTTTTTATTTCTTCACGCACAAATTTTCTTGCGCACTTGTTCACATGTTTCATTCATGTGACCAGAATTACTGATTTCGCAATAATATTGGCTCCGTCACTTCGTTAACGAGCCAATCATGGTCACATAACACTTTTTGGTATTATTATTATTATTGATATATATGATTGCCCTAAATCGCTCGTTGACTTGAATAGGGATCGATAGAATATTCGTAGCTAAACAAACCATTCATAAAGTCATTCTTTTGTTTGCAAAAAAGAAAATTAAATTATTTAAATTGATTAATACTAGTTATATATATGCACAAAAAAGTACAGTACACAATTTTTTCTAACATGTAATAACGAATAAACAAAATTTCAATTACAAAATAAACTATAGAAAAACGGCGACGTTTTGTGGGCTGGAGTTCTGATTCTTAGGTCTTATGCCCCAGAATTGTTGAATAAAATTCTCAAAGCCAACGTATATAAATAGCGGCTTTAATAATATGAATAAAAAAATAAATACAAGTTCAACAACTGAAATCTCATTTTCCAATTAAGCGAACTGAAACCAAATGTTAAAAATATATAGTAACAGCATAGAACAACATAGAATATCAACGTATAATATCAACGTATAATATCAACATAAAATCTAATCTTTATATAAAATACTATATAGTTTTACGCTGGTGCTGTACGTAAGTCGACTACCTATCAAAGGTTAGACATAATAGTTTATAATCTTTCGACTAGATCCATCTTTTATAAATTTGTTGCATTATGGCTTTAGAACAATCGAAATTATATCAAACTAATATAAGGCTGTTTGAAATTACAATTTCATTTAACGTTCATCCAAAAGCTGTAATTAAACAAGCCAATCAGAACATCCGTTTTATAGCGTAATATAATGTTTGTTTAAATTGACCCTTGTACTTAAACTCCATAAAGGAACGTTAAACAAAATTATAATTTCAAACTGCCTAATTATGAATTTTGCCTAAGATTCTACAACCCATGGAACTTCGTCGTCCTTTTTCTCAACCTTACACTTTCTCACAATTTCATCATCACAAGCAATTCGAATTCTTTCAGGTGTTGCAGGTAATCTTAAAACTACCGGAGTATTGTTATTATTGCATTTTCTTTTTTTTAAAAAAAAATAATAAATTAATGGATAAATTATTGGATAATCATTAAAAGATACTCTGAAATTAAAATACCTTGCAGCTGTAATAGCATTCCTAATAGCAAAAAATACAGTGTTTCCTAAAAGCAATGGTGGTTCACCAATTCCTTTACTACTATGGATTGATTTTACATTAGTTTTTGCACCTTCATACGTATATATCCTGAAATCTTGGGGTATATCTCTAAAAAATACATGAAACTT